AAATTAATAATTACAAATTAGTAATTAGTACTAACCTTACAAACTTTCATTTACACCGCAGGGCTTAAACCTATGCTATCGGATATCAGTTTTATCATTAACTGGTTTTGTAATCAATAAGTAGTTTAATTGAGTGATTGTAAGCATAGGTTTAAGCCCTGCGGTGTAAATGAAAGTTTGTAAGGTTAGTACTAATTACTAATTTGTAATTATTAATTTGTTGTACCCGTGTTTCACATGAATACAAGTGGTAAGTTTTAGATATTATAGTTATGTACATATAATTAATTGTGATTAAATTCATTGAATACAGTATTAATAAAGTATACAATGTGTTGGTATGCATTGATTTTGTAAATTCAGTGAATACTACAATAAATGCCAAAGAGATTATAATTGGGGTAAAAACAAAATGTTAATTGAATGTTCAAAAGGTTATTAACTTAAATCTGGCTAAAATGGGTCATTAAATTAACCTATTGTTTATTTTTTAATGTTAATTATATGATGTGGGTGAAAAATCTCAAAACATTTTATCAATTGAATAATTTCTAAAAAGTTAAAAATTTCTAAAGCAATTGTAATATACAATTTTTAAACAAGTTTTCGCAACTAGCTACAGTATTTCAAGTTCATAAATTAAATTGATATTAATAAAACATCAAATTTATTTATGACCTAATTATATACATTGTTATAAAATGTGCTTTTATTAATGTTATTATTTAACAACTATTAGATAAACAGATTCATAATCTATTACTTATAAAGCCCTTGAATTTCATATAGAATTTAATGTTAAATACAATTCATATCATTATATTTAGACAAAGAGTTAACTAATGGCTGACATAACAGTATTAACGTACAAAATATTCATACTCGCGTGGATTACAGCGCAACGACAACGGATCCACGACAAGACAGCATCGCGTACTTCTTGGGACAGTAACTATGATTTCATAGTAGTGGGCGCCGGGGCTGCCGGTGCTGTAGTGGCCAACAAACTCAGTGAAAAGCCATCGGTTCGGGTGTTGCTGTTAGAGGCCGGTGGCCCACAAAATGCTGTATATAATGATATACCAGGAATGGGTGGTGAGGGCAACCGTTTGCGGGTAAATGAATGGTTGTATTATAACGAACCCCGAACTGGGTTTGGACAACAATACGCCGGCGGTCGGGCACCCGATCACAAGGGAAAAACGTTGGGCGGCAGTACAGCGCATAACGCCATGGTATTTAATCGGGGTAATAGTCGTGGTTATGACGAGTGGGCCAATACGTACGGCGCCGTCGGTTGGAGTTATAGGGATGTGTTGCCGGTGTTCAGGGAGTGGGAGAACAATACAGATCCAGAAGTAAATCCCGAATATCACGGAACTCGTGGACCGATTCAGATATCTTCGCCACAAGTTATAAGTCCTTTGATTTACTATTTTAAGGATGCTTTGAATGAATTAGGATTTAAAGACACTGATATCAATGGACCGAAACAATTGGGAACTATGTTTACGCAATCATTTATCACTGCTCAGGGCTTTAGGGCGGATACGGGTAACGCATTTGTAGACCCGAACCCATATCCAGATAACCTGCATATAGTGTGCAAAGCATTGGTCACTAAAATACTGTTCAATGGTCATATAAATGTGATTTTATGCACTTAATAACTGAATTAACATAATGGTAAATGTAATGACAGAACCAATGGGTTGACAGCCATTGGCGTCGAGTTTATAGTAAATGACATCTCGTATACGGTTTACGCCAACAGAGAAGTCATTGTTTCCGGCGGTAAATATAATCACAATTTAAACAGAATATTAAATACTAATTATTTTTATATAAATTATATCGACTGTGAGGTGCTATTAATAGTCCACAACTCCTAATGCTATCGGGTTTGGGACCCAAAAGACATCTGCAAAGTCTGGGAATACGTGTAGTACGAGATCTACCGGTTGGTGACAATTACCAGAATCATCCGGCAATCACTGTCGCTGTAACCACAAAACCCGAGTACATAAACCTAACGGACAGAGTGGCCGCCTTAACCACTGAACAGCTTAGTCTACTATATTTCAACCAATCGGGTCCATTGGCCAGTTCCGTGTCGTGTGCCCTACACTACAACACCCCTAATAATGTGGACAAAGAGTGGCCAAACGGCATACTCTATGCCTCGACAGCTAACGACACGTTTATAATGTACACAAATTTAGGCAGATTTAAAAGCACCGGCACTTTGCGCCTACAGTCCACCAGTCCTTACGTACCCCCAGTAATAGATGCCAATTGGTTCGCACATCCCGATGATCGGCAAGATGTGTTGGATGCCACCATGCTCATATTTTATATACTCGAGCGCTCGAGCTTTGCTCAATACTTACAAATAACTTCCGACTTGTTTGGGGCCATCGGTTGTCCCGTTTGTCCCGACAAACAGTATTTGTATAAATGTGTGGACGGATTGAAGTGTTTTGTGAGTTACTATACGGAGTCGGGTTATCATCCCGGGGGAGGTTGTCGTATGGGAGCGATAGAGAGGCCGGACGTTGTGGTCGACCCCCAGTTGAGGGTTAAGGGTATTAAAAACCTTCGGGTTTGCGATTCATCGGCATTTCCAGTGCTTCCCAACTCTAACACCGCTTCGGCCTCTATATTGGTTGGCTATAAATGTGCCAAATATATTGTAAATCAGTATAATTTATAATTAAATTAACATATTTAAGTAATTTTATAATTACTTGTTTATAACTATAAAATTAATAAATCATTACATTTATGTCATAAAAATATACATTTGTGATAGAAATTTAGTATTTACGCAAAATAAATAGTTTTAATTTATAAAGCAATTATCCAGAATAACAATCTAGAAATGAACATGTACAGTATACAGTAGTATTAAGTAACCATATTAAATTAAATGTGTGTAGAAATGTCCGCTGTTCATAACGCTATCACATTTACTGCGGGCCCTCATCAACAGTTGCCAACTGTCCGACTCATCTAAAGCCATGCAAATTGTGTCGGAGTCCGGGCGCTCATGTGTCACACACTCGGCCAGTGCTTTGGCAAAGTTGTTCACAATCTTGTCTTTTAACATCACAATCACGTACTGTTCCCGAGGATCTGAACGCACCCACAGGTGGACAGAGAGGGGCGAGAGTTTATTAAAATCCCAACTAATAAAATAATTACAAACCTTGAGATTTGACGTCAAATTTGAAACCATTGGGCGATCGGTCGCCGATACACAGGTCCTCCTGGAGCCGGACGTTGGCCTCGTTGTTGAGCCGCACGAACAGCGCCGGAAGCGATGGACTCAAACAGTAATACAATTGTCGCATATCTCGGAAATGCAAGTCAATGGCCAACCGGAACCTTATGGTCGAATTCGAGCAGTTCTTAAGCACTCGTTTCATTTTGAGTCCCTTTGCGGTCACATCCATACCAGTGATTGTGGCCACAAATGTGCCAAACATTACGTACTCGACCAGCACTACGTGCGGAAAGCGGATCATCTCCGGCGTTGTTGTGCTTTGACCGCATTGTCCGCACAGTCGTCCGATTAACGGATATGAGTACACGTGATGGCAGTGTCGGCACGCGTATAGCGGACCAATCGGTCGACTCGGTGTGGCGGTTGTGTGCGGCCGCAGTCCGGGTCTATTGGGACACTGATCTTCGTGCCGATGAACGGCGCTTAGAGCTATGGCCGTAGCCGTACACACGTCGCCGTCAAACCAGCGACACTTGAGCCGTACATCTCGGAGCCAGTTGTGTGTCTCGACGGCCAGACCAATGGGTGCCGAGTGGCTGAACGGCTGGTCGTCGAGCGGGCAAAATGGCGAGCGTCGGCCCAATTCAGTCTGACATGTATAACAGGCGCTGTGACCGCAACCGGACAGTCGGCACCCGTTGTCCACCAGAAGTCGACATAAGCAACACTTGGCTTCGGGCGGTACTGTCAGGTGTGCGGCGTTCGTAGTAATCAGTGACCACTCGAAACCCATTTTATCGTCAATTAATTTAATGTAAATTTAATTATAATAAATATATTTAATTTGTAGTTTGGTTAAATGATGGATTGGAAACGCGTGCTTCAATATGCCCTGAGTCATTTAGTATTACAGTTTGATTAAATATTGTAGTTTGATATTAATATTTTGCTGATATTAGTATATTTAGACAAATTCTATCGTCATGAATACAGACTGTTGTAGACTAATTTAGCTATCAATATGAGAAATATACTGCTCATAGTTACAGAATTCTTGCTAATTAAGTGCAAACTTTATAAACAATTGTGCACATTATTCATACACTATTCACATTTAGTGGTATAAAACATTAAATGTTCAAACAATAACCAAGTTCAAATAATAAAAGTTAAACAAAAAATAAACTTAAACCTCTAAACTAAAAAACTACAATTGTAAACTTTTAAACTTTTTAATCAAATCTCAAAGAAAATTGAGATAATTGCAATAGAATAGGTTTCTAATTATGTTGTACAATCAAATTAACATTTGTAATTAAAATCCACATTACCGAGATTTTTATTTTATGTTGAAACATATACGTTGAACATAAATGTTAATTAATAAAATTACTTATATTATATAAGTTATATAACAAATGTAAAATTGGTTGCATTTTATGCAATTCATCTCGCTGTATAATGTTTAGTTCAATTAATACTGATACATGTATGTTTATCATAATAAACTTTATTAAAATTTAATAAATTGTTGATTCATTAAATAAATACATGTACACAATTAATTGCAAATTATTAAAACAGGTATATTAATAAACAAAATCAAAATTTGTTTTGAGTGTTTGTATATTAGATTATAACTAAACTAGATGTTTAACTGTTCTCAGTCTAACACTATTATAGGTATTTTATACTAAAATTTTAGTAAAGCACCAATGTCGGATTGTTTTAAAATAGCCGATCGATTCAAAGCGTTTGAACCGAGTTTCTTGTAAATATATAATTGAAATTTTAATAAAATATTTAATAATTATTAATTTTAGTAAAGAAATAGCGGAGATGGTGGAACGCAATAAGCCCATTAACCTGGGTGTTTCTGTGCCAGACTTTGATGTCTACCCCCAAACAATAATTGAAGCGATGCGTGATATTGTACTTGATGATAATACAACCATGCATCAAATGACAAAGATCACGGTCAGTTTGATATAACAATTTCTTTATATACATTTTTACACGATAATCCAGACATTTTACCAGTTATATTAAATTAGTAAGTGCGAAAAACTAATTGTCCTAGACTAGAACTTCTAGTAGGTTATACTGCACATCGTACATTGTAAAGTAATGCACTGTACAGTATTGTAGAATACTTTTTGTAACTTTTTGGGAGACATTATATATTTTTTGTATGATATTAGCTCTTAATTCCGTATTAAATATAATATATCATATTTAACTCTTTCACCAGGGTCACCCACGATTAGTTAATGTACTAGCTAAACTGTACTCACAGTTACTAAACAATAAAGTGACCGGGGACAACATCCTGATCACATGCGGAGCGTTTGAAGCGTTGTATTGCGCTATACATAGCATAATTAACCATGGTGATGAGGCCATTATCATAGACCCGGCGTACGACGAGTTCGAGGTACTGGTGAAGGGCGCGGGCGGAGTACCGGTGCACACGTGCCTCAAACGCACCGGCGATGGCACCGATTGGCAATTGGACCTAGATGATCTCGAGGCAAAAATCACCGACAGGACCCGCGTTATCATTATTAACACACCGCACAATCCAACCGGAAAAGTACAGTCACTGCCAGTTTTGTTTTGCTATTCAATTAACATTACTTTTTTGTTTGAAAATAATATTTATTCCTTATTATTGTTATTTATTATTGAAAGCTATTCACGAGATCAGAGTTGGAAGCGATCGGACAGTTGTGTCTCAAACACAACTTGATTGCCGTATCGGACGAAGTGTTTGAATGGCTTACCTATGATGGCCGCACTCATCATCGGATAGGTATCCCATTATTACTAACACAGTACCCAAACTTTAACCCCCTGGTGCGTTACACCATGTACTTTATTCACCAGCATCGCTGCCCGGAATGTACGACCGGTGCGTAACCATCGGCAGTCTGGGCAAAGCGTGTCACGTGACAGGTTGGCGGTGCGGTTGGGCCATAGCTGGCAACCCAGTGGTGCGTATGGGACTGGTTATGGCGCACATGTCGTGCGCCAACTCTATGCCCACAATCATTCAAGA